CCCCCCCCTTTCCCCTTTGAAAAATTTATTTCTAATAGGAACAAGTTCTAACCACACATAGGAGATTATTGATGACTAGATGGGGGTTTATTTCTTTACAAGGCAGTGGAATGGAAAAGTCAGAGTGAGAGATTTTGGAGAGATAAGCTGGCTCCTGGAGGTTAGACGCAGAATTTACGTGTACCTAGTGGGTCCAAAGGCCAAATGCTGTTTGCAGTTGGTGGTCCAGTCAGCAATTTGTGGCCTTGCTCTGGGTTTCAGTAGAATACGAGACATACAATTAGAAAGTGATATTCATTTGCCTTCTGCAAATACCAACCCAGAGCCGATTAGGTTGAGTCTTAATATAAATGACCACTGATTACAGAATTTAGGGGGGAGAGAGAGATTTTGGTATTCCTGAACAAAATAAAACAAAACCCAGCTTTCGTCTAGCCTTCATTCAATCACTAAACATTTACTGAAGGCTAGAGCCCAAATATGTTGATTTTTTTTTTTTTTAATGCTCCCAAGTAATAGTATAGCTATTAAGAGCTTCAATTCTGGAGACATAGTGGGGAATTGGGTTTAAATCTTGTTGCTTATCATTGCCAGTTGTGTAATCGTGGGTATGCGGATTGACCTCTCCAAGTCTCAACTTTTGTCATCCCTAAAACAATAATCATAAGACCTACCTTATAAAATTGCTGTGGAAATTTAAGATCACCCGAGAAATATTTTGCACATGACAAGTGCTCCGTTACTGATAGTTTTTAAGTGTCTGGGCACAAGCCAAGTGCTAGGGAATATGAGAATAAGTAAGATACAGTTTTTGCTGTCAAGCATCTCAAATTTTAGCTAGAGAGATAAATATGTAAAGAAAACCCTTACAATCCAGTGCTGGTAAGTGCTAAACTGAGTAGTTTTATGAGAGCATATTAGGAGGAGCATTTAACTTTTTCTGCAGAGGGAAGACAGGAAAAGACTTGTCAAAGGAAGGAAACTTAAGAGTGAGTCTTCAAAAATAAGGACAGATGGGAGCCATCTACACAGAGTTGAGGGGAAAAGTAAGAAGTACTTCCCAAGCATAGGCATAGCATATGTAAAAGCTTAGAGGTAAGAGAAGACCGGGCTGTTTAGGAAGCATGAAATGAGTATAGATAGTGGAGCCCATGGCAAGAATAGAGGCTGGAGAGGTAGGCTAGGAGCCGATGATGCAGGCCCTTGGATATTAGCTGAGCATCATGAACTTTTAACATATGGGTAATGAGGGATTCGAGACCAATTTAGGGGATATAATAGAAGTTGGTGACCAATGAATGTAGAAACAAGGGAGGAGTCAAAAAGATGACTTCCAAATTTCTGGTTTGGGTAGCTAGGTCAGTGCAGGACTACTCAGTACTGACAGCAATCGTGTAGAGATGTCATCCATCTACTCAGGAACACTGAAAATGTGGAAACAGTTTAAGTCTGAATATATAGCTTTTAAAAAGTCATGAATTAGGGGCGGCGCCTGTGGCTCAGTGAGTAGGGCGCCGGCCTCATATACCGAGGGTGGAGGGTTGGAACCCGGTCCTGGTCAAAATGCAATCAAAAGTCACAAATTACTCATCATAGGTACATCAAACCATTTTGGACTTCCCTGCTTTTTAATGCTTTAGTGTTATTTTATTAGATTTCCATATTGGAAGAGGGGAGGATCATAATCTTTTCATGGCTTAAAGTGTCCCAAAGGAAGAGGAGTCTAGATCTTATTCCTTCTCTAATCTGGATAGTTAGTGGTATCATTTTGCTGAGATCGGGAACACTGGAAAAGGATCAGGTGTGGGCCTCCTGATACTGTTAGGATTAGCCCAGAGGGAAGGGAATGGCATGGTCAGGCTGAGAAGGGACTCACAATCCGGTGGCCTTCTAGGGAGACACCATTAAGCCACTTTTACATATAACTCAGCCCAAGTGGAGTGTTTGCATCTAAGTCAGTATGTTGCAAACCAGTACTAAAGGAAGTGTTCCAAGTTTATTGCTGATAAGGGAGGCCAGGGATTCAAGTTGATAGAAGGTTTGGCGGTGTAGATTAAGGTAGGGCTTTTCACCTTGAGTCCTGAATTATGAAACTCTGAAAATATAAGAGTTAGTATCTGGAAGTAGAGTGTAGAAGAAGGACTACAGAAGTCCTAAACTGTATTAGCAAAGGCAGAAGAAAGAGAAGCAGTGACAAAGACAGAATGGTCACTGAGGGAGGAGGGGGTCAGACCACATCCTTGAGAGATCATTAGTCATGACCAGCATGGATAGGAGATCAGGACAGATAAAAAATAAGAGAAAGATTACAGGAGTGACTAGGGAGCAGAAGTGGGGTGCTAAGAACTAAAGGCTCAGTGTTCTGTTTGCCTTTCTGAACTGGCATAAATGGTAGTTGGACAAAGTCAGTGTAAGAGGTAGCTACAGTCTGCAAACAGGCAAGGGAAGTAGGAGTCCCAGCAGAAAGCTCTAAACTTCACTGTTAAAACAGTATTCATAGGCCAAGCATGGTGGCTCACGCTGTGTTCCCAGCACTCTGGGAGGCCAAGGCAGGTGGATTGCCTGAGCTTATGAGTTCAAGACCAGCTTGAGCTAGAGACTCCATCTCTCGAAAATAGCCGGGCATTGTGATGGGCACCTGTCATTCCAGCTACTCAGGCAGGCAAGAGAATCACTTGAGCCCAAGAGTTTGAGATGTGACACCACAGCACTCTACCGAAGGCAATAAAGTGAGACTGTCTCAAAAACAAACAAAAAAGAACACAAAACAGTATTTGTCAATAAAGTAGGCTCATTGTAAAAATGCAATCTACACTGAGGTTAAGTTAGATGGTATGCATGTATTTTTTTTTAACAGTTTTTGGCCGGGGCTGGGTTTGAACCCACCACCTCTAGCATATAGGGCTGGTGCCCCACTCCTTTGAGCCACAGGCGCTGCCCTAGTATGCATGTAGTTTTTCAGAATGAGTCCTAAATGTGTTCCATGGACAAGCAAAGGCTTTGAGTGACTTTTATCCCCCTGCCTTTCTTTCCTGTTCCTGTATGGTCCCTTTCATTATTTAAATTTTCAATATTTCTGCCTCATATCTCCGTCCTTTGGCTGGAGAGAGAAAGCAGTGAGAGACGGTGGAGCGGGACAAGAAGAAACCATAATAATGGCACGTGAACATGAAAAGTTTTGAATTTGAAATTCATCATAGGTCCCGACAAAACCAGTAATGCAGATAGGTGTGTAGTTGAATATTGTGTATAATTTAGGCCAAGGAAATATCTGTTTGGACCAGCATGTTTTAAATTGACCACTCTGGCAATTTTGAAGTTGATCAGTTTCAACTAGGTAAACCTGGTTCATGCTGACTTGACCAGTTTTAGGAGGATGGGTATTATTTTTTCAGTGGGAAGAGAAGTCTTATCAGAGATACATGCTGAAATCTGCTGATACAGGTGTTATGGCAGCTACTAGGTGCCATTTTAGAATGTTTCCACAGTAACTTCCTCCTGGGAACTATTTCTAGATAGACTAATTTCATAATAGCTCTTAATTTCATTAGTGATTATATCTTTAAAGGCTTTTTTAACTTATTAGCTATTGATAAATTTATTCATCATTGTGTAACTGAAAAAATGTGGTACTTAAGACAATGACATGAATGGCTAATATGACAGAATAGGATGGAACATGGAAAAATAGCTACAAACTAGAAAGACTGGCTCGAGATTTCTAAGAACTAAATAAAATTAATTCAGAATAAAAATCAGTAATTTGTAGCTTTGTACTAGCAAAGTGCTGAGTAGGAAAAGATTTAAAATGTTTTGGTTTTGGCTGGAGCTGGGTTTGAACCCACCACCTCTGGCATGTGGGACTAGCACCCTACTTCTTTGAGCCACAGGCGCCGCCCAGATTAAGAATGTTTTTAGTGATAGACTTGTAGCCTCAATGGTATTCTTGTTGAAAGAATTCTGAGAGTCTTATTAAGATACATTTTACAGGGCAGTGCCCATAGCTCAGTGGGTAGGGCACCGGCCACATACACCAAGGCTGGCAGGTTCGAACCTGGCCTGGGCCAGCTTAAAAAAAAAAAAAAACAACAACAACAATGACAACTGCAACAAAAAAAATAGCTTGGTGTTGTAGCAGGCACCTGTAGTCACAGCTACCTGGGAGGCTGAGGCAAGAGAATCGCTTAAGCCCAGGAGTTTGAGGTTGCTGTGAGCTGTGACACCATGGCACTTTACCCAGGGTGACAGCTTGAGACTGTCTCAAGAAAAAGGAAAAACGGTATATTTTACAAGAAATATGTAAATGAAAGTAGTTCTTACCACTTGACATTTAGCTGTAGTTAACATGGAAATAATTCATAACATTTTTATAGATAGCTGAAGTGCTTTTGTTTTCTATTTTTTTGCTTTAAATGGTCATGTACTTTTATTTTATTACAAATTAATATGAGGGTCCAGATGTTTAGGTTACATTGTTTTTGATCCTAAGGTAAAGTTCAAGTTGTAGTGGAGCGTTTCACCCAGGGCCGTGCTGTACACCCTCACATTATGCACCTTAGTGAGATCCGACTTCTCTCTCTATTCCTTCTTGCTAATAGTAAGCCTTAGCTTGACTTTTGGTGTAATGAATTCTTTAGTAAGCAGCATTTGATCCAACGATGCCAGTAAACACAGTTATCTCGAGATGCCTGTTGGTCACACCATTAACCTGTGAAAGGACATCAATTTCAGTGAGGGCTTCGTCTGAATTCAGAAACGTTCGAATTATTTGCATGTCACTTTTTGGGTCACACTCTTAGCCACCTCTGCCAATAAAATTAGGATATCCAAAGAAATATTGTTGTAGTTGTGTTGGCATCAGTTGTCTTTCAACTTTGGGATTGTTTTGATGAACCTGATTTACAACTTGTGGATGTCAAAACTATACCCCAAATAAATACATGTTAACATTTTGCCTTTAGCCAATAAGAAGAAAGAGAAAGAGCGCCCAGAGATCTCTCTTCCTTCAGACTTTGAGCATACGATTCATGTGGGGTTTGATGCAGTCACCGGGGAGTTCACTGTAAGTAAGCTCCTTATTTTGTTTTGTAAGCCGTGAAAGAATTCCTTCATGAAAATAGGTTTCAAGCAAGAATTGCCGTGTCCCAGAGTGTCAGATGATATTTTCGATGATTCCAGATAAGATGGACTTTCAGTCATAGATGTAAATAGAGAGTAGCAGCAACATTGGCAAATTTATTTCATCTATCTTAAATAAAACGTCTAATCCCTGTACTGTCTTCAGTGGGATTGAAAATATTAACTACTATGACACAGAAAATGTAGTCCCAGTAGAGAGACCCTGCATGAGCTTATTCTTTGTCATGCAAAGTGAATCGGAGAATCATGTACCCAACTTGGCCAGGGAAGACAATCCATCTGAATAATTCAGGCTTTACATTGAAACTTGGATTACCCAGATCAGGTAACAACACTAACCGAAAATCTCTGTAAAACTGACCTGTTCTCCCCTTTGATTTCATCATGAACACGGTTTACTTTTATGATTATTCATAGATATATTTAGTGCTTAAATAGCACAAAATCTCAGATCTATGACATTTTAATACTTTTTAAAAAAAGATCAGATGTCTTTTGTTTCAGATGCGTATGATTAGAAATATGTCCCAAGGAAGGCCAATTACCCTTTTCCACACTGGTAAGGAACTCTATCAAAATGTGCATTCTGAAATGAGGAGTAATTTTGAATGCATTTAGAAAATCTTTGGTAGAACTATCACCATCAATTTTTGGCTCATTAAACCAGACAGAAATTTAGATATTAAATAGTTGGGTTTCTTATTTAATAGCATGATGATTAGTGAGTAGACGGGGTCATAATGATTAGGCAGAAAAAAAGAAGGAGCAAATTAATCTGATGTGGAGAAGCAAACCATATTGCTGAATTGATAGTCTAAGGATCAGATATTTTTTTTTCCATTCTGAAAGTAAGCAATGTGCAAATGAAATTGAAACTGAGTAAATATCTTAGTCTGGTAAGGTAAAGTGGTGTGTACTGATTATTTCTGCGTTCTCAGTAGCAAGCAGAAGAGAACGTTAAGAAATATTGACACTGATCAAGTGGAGATAGGTAAGGTGTAATGAATTTCATTATTGCCGTCAGAGATGGGCATTTTTCAAATGGCCTTGAGTTTGAGCCCAGCCTTTACTATGTTTCCAGAATATTCTCTTAGCTACACTATTCTAAACTACACTCAGAAGCTATAAACTCACTATTACTACCACCACCACCATTTTCACCACCAGGAAAAAAAGGAATTTCTATAACCTGAAAAATTTTATATTGTAAAAATGTCACAAAGAGATTATAACTATTCTTTCTGACATTTGATCAAAGAAAACCTCTGAAACTCTATGAAAGTTTTGTCTCATGATGCTTCCCTTTTTTTATTTCAAGAACTTTACCTTTCCAGTTCTGACCTTTTCATTTTATGTGTGCTAATCTTCTGTTTAAACTTCTCTTATGTTTCATTGTTGCCATTCCGTATTTTTCTTTTCCCTTTTTCTTTTATTGAGGTTTTTTTGTTTGTTTGTTCGGTTGCTGATGTGAGAGTTTTTTCCTCCACTTACCCCATGCAACACTCTGGTTCATTTCCAATGTCTTATTCTTTTCACTGGTCTAACATAATATCTTATGGTACAATATCTCTGTCTTTACCTCTTTCTCTGTCCTTTTGGGATTCTGGATGGAAATGAAAGAAAGAGAATCACCGCCATCTTGCTGACTGCAACACCAGTCCTTTTCACTTTGCTGTCAGTTAGAACCCAAAGCACCAATCAGAGTGGGGTGGAGCAGGGTATGTGATGGGCAGTCTTTCCAATGATTAAAAAAAAGCAGGATACAACAGAACCAAACCAAATACCCTTCCCCTCCCCCAAAAAAAGCCCCCAAGTTGAAATAAAACAGCTATTTGGAAGCAATCAATTATTAGAAATTCATTGAATGCATAGACACAGGCTAGTAGGTTTGGAAATTAGAAGTACTTCCTTGTCTCCTTGATTATCTTTTCTATCTACTGTCCACACATAATTTGCCAAATTCTGCCTTTTTTTTTTTAACTATTTTAACCTATGATTTACAGTTACTATGTTATTGCGTTTATTAAGTTTAAAAATGCCAAATGATAATAAGTTTCTAAGAAAGTCATTTTATTGGTAGGATTTAGAATTGGGTCCTATTTGCCACAGTGTCACTAATTCACTGTGTGTTGGGGGGGATCATATTGCTGGATTTGATATTGTGGTTGTTGAGCTTGAATTTTGAGCAATTTGTTGATCTATCTAATCCAGTTGTCTTACAAGGGCCTTTATTTTCAATGTTTGGACACTGATTTGGTGTGTTTGCTTGGTGATTACTCTATGGCTAATGGCCCATATAACCCTGTACAACCTGGTCGTGCCCTTGGACCCTGAAGCTAAAAGTAGGCTGGGAGGTGAGATTTTTGGTATTAAATTATTACAAGTCCTTACCCATTATATTGCCATTTTTGTCCCAAATACTTCAGAACTCCCCTTTCCAGACCTCTAGACCTGTGACGGTCGCTTCAAGTCAATCAGAGGGAAAAATGGTATGAGTGATATAAATTATCATTTCTTATAAGATTAATGCTTGGCCTGTTATATCATGCTGCCATTCTCCTGGGCTACACTGGATAATCCCCAGCTTGATGTACATCTAGTTGTTATTGTATACATGGTCAGGCATTGATATGTGCTCCTCCTGCTTCTGATGCTCAAACTCCTAGGTCTCTAACTTTGAAGATTAGCGCCTCAATTGGGAGTAATCAGATAGCTTTCTGATTATGTGCCCTTGTGGCATACGTTCAAATTTAAGTGTCAGGTTTTGTTGATAAATGGGTTTATCTAACTTAGAAAAAAGAAATTATCTCAACAGTGTAGTCATGGTAAGTATAGTTGTCTAGAGGATTTTCTGCAATTGACAGCATTTTTTCCCTGCTGTCTAGTGATCACAAAAGTATTTAAAGTTTAGACGTGCCATAGGAATGTATAATCAGTGCACATATTCTAATGACTATGGTAAAGATCATGCCAGTGATGTCTGCCCTAGTGGTTATGTGCAATGCATACCTCAATTTGTAACACTTAATAACTCCTTTGGCCATTACAGTATTAACCAAATGCTATTAATTGCACTTAGAATCAGAACTGGGATCATGCATGGGCTCCTGAGTTCAAATTTTTGGCTTAAGGCTTTAGCATCAAATTGCGTGATGAATGCATGTAAAAGTGTTGTTTTACTGTGCTTGGAGTAACCCCAAATGCCAGGAATCAAGGACGCATATCCCAAATCAAGCCAGTTAGGTCAAAGCATGTTTTTGTAGCATTTGTGATACCTTTATTTGGAGAAAGCTGTTAATCTTATATCTGATCTTATTTTATGGGAGGGGGATTTTGGAACTGCTGCACTAAAATGGAAATTATTGATATATGGTTTGAAATAGAATGGTTTCCCTTTCCCTGATCTAAATGTCTAAGAAATGTAAACATAGAGTCTGGCTGTGTGGAAACATACTTTAGTTTTTTTGTAAGCCAGCCATGACTTCAGCCACGAAGTACAGAAGAACATATCAATGAGAAAAAAATAATTCAGCATTACCACATAGGCATCCTTTGCATTTTAGCCACACACACACTTTCAATGTGAAACTGAAATTGGTTAACCAGAATTGGGAACTGAAATTTGTAAGTTCATCACATGGCCATTGGCTACTTGTGATCTCCCAGTTATAAAAGCAACTTACAAATTATTGCCAAAGCTTTCCGTGATGCCATCCTTCTTCCCTCCAAATTCATGTTCCTGCCGATTAGTAATTTCGCCAGTCTCTTACTGGCCACTCTTATGACATATTTATGGAGGGAGCATCTGGCCAAAAGTGGAATTGTACGTCCAAACTTTGGTGGAACATTGTCGTTTTCTCTGTTCTCTTAAATCTGTTGTCCTGTAGCGTGTCCTGTCCCTGATTTAGTTAATACCTCCCTATTTTCATAACCGCCCCACTTTAGAAGGGAACCCCCCTCCCCATCCAGACCCATTGATTTCATCTCCTCCCACCTTCTAAGTTGTCCCACATTCTGTTTTAACTTTCTTTTCTTTCTTTATTTACGTCCATTACAGCCAGATCTCTATGGCTCACAGATGTGCCCAGGGAAGCTCCCAGAGGTGCGTCACAGGCCCAAAAGAAGCTTGCATCAAAGTGCTTCTTTGAGATGTCATAGCACTGCAGCAGCAGGTTCATGTGTGTACAGTAGAGTTGTTGCTTGGCTTACCTCACTTTTCTGTTGTCATCCCCGAACTCTGGAGGCCCACGTCACACATTGTTTTGCCGAGACTTCATAGGACAAAGCCACCAAAATGGTGTCTGGATGCACTTCAGGAATGGTGTGTCTGCTTCTCTCTCCAAGTTGTTCTTGGAGGTTGGATAAGTATGACATGGGGACATCTGTACCCCGGACATGGGGACATCTATACCCCGAACATGTAGGAAAGAATGTTGAATGCTCACTGCAAAGGCAGCCTGTCTTGGTAAATTTTTTGCAATTCTCCTTGGTTAGCTATCCAAATACTCCCTCCTCGCTACTGTAAACGCTTCAGATTGTTATAAATTCTCACAAGGCTTTGGCATGATTTTCATAGTCCCCAGGTTCTATACGGCCTATAAATGGAGTGAGGAGGGAGGGAGGAGTGAAGGAGGGCATGCCCTGGAGCAGCGTTATGGTTACCATTTAGCATCTCAGGGTTACCATTGCTCCTCCACAATTCTGTTTTTGTCTCCTCCCCAATCTGCCTTGATACGAAATCTCTAGACTGAAAAAAAAAATGATGTGATATCATCGCAAACTATAACCTGACCAAGGGTGAGGCTTTCCTTTTATTCTAAAATCTATCGTGATTACCACATACCCAGGAACAGCTTATGTTCTTCCAGTCATAGAAAACCTATTGGTTTGCACGATACTATGCTGTGCACAAATTGACGGAAGTCTTGCTATGTCTGCCCTGAGTCGCCAGAAAAAAATAAGCTAAGCCGTAAACATCATTTCATGGATGAGCAGAGTCAATATGGAGGTGATTTTCATGCGCTGTTTTTTTTTTTTTTTCTATCACAGTCATACTCCCACCCACCCTTTTTAAGTTGGATCCTAGTTTTACCTATGTGTTTGAATTAGAGAAGAGAATGATTGCACTATTAAGTTACTAACTTTAAATCTAGAATGTAACTTCAGTTTCCCAAGTGTAATCCTACAGGTAGCATGGGCTTCTTGGTGAAGAACTTTACTGGAACGTGAAAATGCCGCTGCCAAATGTTCTGAGCTGCCTTCTTTCCCTTTGGTTGTCCACAGGGAATTCCTGAGCAGTGGGCACGATTACTCCAAACCTCCAACATAACGAAACTCGAGCAGAAGAAGAACCCCCAAGCCGTCCTAGATGTTCTCAAATTCTATGATTCCAAAGAAACCGTCAACAACCAGAAATACATGAGCTTTACATCAGGAGGTAAGGGGAAGTCTGAGGCATCAAAAGGTGAAGAAGTGAGTCCAATCTCAGAGCCCCATTTTTAGAACAAAATGTGTGTAGAACATTCGTAGTCAGTTCTAGTACCTTCTCCAAATGGCTTCAGCATAAATCAACCAATAGATGAGTTGGAATTTGAGATTGATGTCAGGAGATTTATATTACTTGAGTGTTTTTACAACCCCACTAAGGATATTGTTCAGTGAAGTAGTAGTAGTTAGCTTGAATTGGCAATCATAATGGTTTTGTCTCGTATATTAAGATTAGGATCACTCTTTGTGATAATGGTCATGAAGTAAAAGGTATGGAGGTCAAACCCTGGTCTCTGGAAATTTATTTTATCTCTCAGGTTCACTGATTTGCACCATGATAACACAACACAAATTTTTTGGTATTAGGTTATTTCGATCAGACCCCCCCTCAATCAGACCGAAAACAAAAGAAACTGTTTTTGGCCATTTATAGAGATTGAAATTGCCACGTTCGTACCAAATCTTGACAGCATTTGGTAGTATGTCAACCTAACTTTTGTTTGAAGCATTGATGTTCAAATTTTCACTATAAGCAATTGAAAATATATACCAAAAATTCTTTCATATTTTGAGATAGACGATCTGGATTGTTTCTCTAGAATATTATTTAACATCTAAAGAAAGAAGATACTGTCATTAGTACCCCAGATATAAAAATGCCCCTGCCTCTTGACTCATGGGTTCAGTATAGAATAGGGTTTACATATCTTTTTTTTTTTTTGAATTTTATTTATTTATTTATTTGTTTATTTTCAGTTTCTGGCTGACGCTGGGTTTGAACCCGCCACCTCCAGCATATGGGGCTGGCGCCCTACTTCTTGAGCCACAGGTGCCTCCCTATGTATCTTTGAGAATGGCTCAAGGATATGCTTGGAAGGGGTGGAGTATCTGATTTGGCAATACCAACTGTCAAAGTCAAACCTGAAGGCTATGGCAACTCACATGCTAAACTGAACTCTTTTTTTTAAATGAGAAGGTTGTTTAACTGGTGTTTTCCAATGTCAAGCCCTTAAAAAAGGAAGCCATCAAGGAGAAGTTTTTGTGGCAGTTAGTCTTCCACATGGAATAAAATGTCTAAGAGATCCTGGACATCAAGTCATGTTCCAAGTTAGAACCATAGGCACCCAACCCTGAAAACGCATTCAAGAAATCATGTTAGTGTAACCATTAATACCTGTAAGATTCTCAAAGTTTATTCTTTCCTCCAAGCAGCCACTGCTAACACTTTTACTTTTATCGGATTAATTCTTTCAACATACAAAGATGAAATCTTGACAATTTTGTTAGAACTCACCCGTATTTGAGTTATTGCATATACTTAGCTGAGTGAAAAACTCAATCATACGTTTCCTGAATGCTCTAGTATTGAGACTAAAAGAAGAAGAGGGGGCTCGGCGCCTATAGCTCAACCGGCTAAGGCGCCAGCCACGTACACCTAAGGTGGCGGGTTCGAATCCCCAGCCTGGACCCGCCAAACAACAATGATGGCTGCAACCAAAAAATAGCCGGGCGTTGTGGCGGGCGCCTGTGGTCCCAGCTACTTGGGAGGCGGAGGCAGGAGACTCGCTGGAGCCCAGGAGTTGGAGGTTGCTGTGAGCTGTAATGCCACGGCACTCTGCCCAGGGGGACAGCTTGAGGCTCTGTCTCAAAAAAAAAAAAGAAGAAGAGGGGAACATGAGCAAAGGGTGGAGAGAAGGGAAGATGGAAGAAAGGAATGGAAACAACAGAGGGAGAGAGAGAGCGAGAGAGAAAGGAAAAGGGCAGAAATCCTGGGTATACAGAAGTCCCCCTTTATCCATGTAGAATACCTTCTAAGACCCACAGTTGATGCCTGAAACCAAGGATAGTGCTGAACCCTATATATACATGTACATGTTATATAGATGTGTACACACGCATACATATATACACAAACACTGTGTTTTTGCCTATTACGTATGATAAAGAATAAGTTGTGAATTAGACACAGTAAGAGATTAACAATAACATAGAACATTTATAACGATATGGCAGCCTACTACTCTTATGCTTTGGGACCATTATAAGGGTTACTCGAACATAAGCATAGTGATTCCGTGACAGTCAATCTGATAACTAAGGTAACTACTATGTGACTATAGGATAGGTAGGCAACAGTGTGGAGATGCTTGACAAAGTGGCATGGAATGAGATTTCGTTACATTTGGAGAGGCACACAATTTAAAACATATGCGTTGCTTATCTCTGGCATTTTCCATTTACTATTTTTAGACCATGGTAGACTATAAGTAGCTAAAACCGCTGCTGCGAATGAGACACTCCTCTAGATGTATAGAATCATACCACTCAAGAGTAGCTAATCTCGACATTCTTCCACATAGGTGAGATTCACCGGAGGCCTTCATTAAAGGTCTATGAAATGACTTGGTGAGGATATGATTGGGATGTAATGGTGGGCAATTTTAAGAAGAAGTATATGGTTAGTCAAAATTTCTACAATGCCGAATTGGAGAATTTCCATGGGGTCAAAAGCACGCAGTTTTAATTTTTCACTATGGCCTCTAAATGAGGGAGTATTTATGAAACAAACATGACCTCTTTCTGCTCACTTTTCAGATAAAAGCGCACATGGATACATAGCAGCCCATCCTTCGGTGAGTGAAAAATTCAAAACTGTTTTTCATGATCAATGTCTCCAGAGAGCCAATAGAATATAATAACACAGATCTCGATTTTCGAAAGAGGGTCTTTAAAAAAATTAAGATATAATTAGATATATATAATTCACCTCTTTTAAGAGTACAGGTCCATGAGTTTTAATGAATTTATCCCTGTGCTACCATCACCTTGACCAAGTTTTAGAACATGCCTATCGCCCCAGGATAATTTATCATGCCTGTTTACAGTTAATCCCCACCCAAGCCCCAGGCAATCACTCATGTGGCTTCTGCCTTTATGGATTTGCCTTTCTAGATATTTAATGTAAATTAAATAATACAGGATATGAGATTGGCTTTTGGGATTGGCTTTTTTCACTTAGCATATTTCTTTTAGGATTTACTGGGTTGTTGTATATATCAATAATTTGTTCTCTTTCATTGTTGTTGAATAGTTTTCCACGATACTATTATATCACTGTGTGTTTAACCATTCACATGTTGAAGGCTCTCTCTATACTATTTCCAGTTGTCTGTTATAAATAAAGCTATTATGAGTATTCATGTATAGGGATTTATGTGGACAAATGTTTCTATTTCTCTTACATATAGAATCTTGGAAATAATCATTAATAGCAACTTCTCTTTACTGAACACTATACACTTACAACGTACACTGCGAGCTAATATTTTATGTTCATTTACTCTTTCCTATAACCCAATTTAGTAACTCTTACAATTGTCCCCATTTTACAGATGAGGAAACTGAGGTTCAGAGAAATGAAAAGTAAATTGTCTAAGGTTACAACAATATACCTTTTAGTATCACTTGTTCCAACAAACTGAGGTACAGTGAAGGAAGTGATTTTACCCAAAGTAACATTGAGAGTTTTATCAGAGCAGTGACCAAGTCCTTGGAGTAAATAACCTTGTCCTTGGAAGTGCTATAGTACCTCTATGCACATTAGAGAAAAAGTGATCTCAGACAAGGCTTCCCTTACAAATGTGATTTTCATTTTGATACTCTGATATAAATTATTTACTTCTCCTCATTTACTACTAAGGGGTGAAATAATTATCATTAGCAAGAGTTTATTTAAGAAGTCATGGATGGCCAAGCTGGTTCTTGCTTTTATAGAGGATCAGTGTTGGTCTGCTTGACATCACCATGAACAGCCTATGTAACAACAGTAGACTGTTAGTGATAAGAGTAAAGGTTCTGGCTCAGCGCCTGTGGCTCAAGTGGCTAAGGCGCCAGCCATGTACACCTAAGGTGGCGGGTTCGAATCCAGCCTCGGCCCGCCAAACAACAATGATGGCTGCAACCAAAAAATAGCCAGTGTGGTGGGTGCCTGTGGTCCCAGCTACTTGGGAGGCGGAGGCAGGAGACTGGCTTGAGCCCAGGAGTTGGAGGTTGCTGTGAGCTGAGATGCCACGGCACTCTACCCAGGGGGATAGCTTGAGGCTCCTGTCTCAAAAAAAAAAAAAAAAAGAGTAAAGGTTCTGAAATAATATAGCAGTTTCTTAAAATAGGATTCTTATATGATCCAGATGGTACATACTCATAATTGAAAGCAGGGTCTTTAAAAGATATTTCCATACTCATGTTCGTTGAAGCACTATTCACAATAGGCCAAAGGTAAAAGCAACTCAAGTATCTATCAACAGATGAAGGGATAGACGAAATATGGCATATATACAAGATGGAATAATATTAACCCTTAAAAAGGAAGACAATACACATTAGGACATGGATGCACCTTGAGTATGATATGCTAAGTGGAACAAGCCAGTCACAAAAATACAAGTATTGTATGATTCCACTTACATGAGATACCTAGTGAGTCAAATTCTTAGAAACAGAAAGTAGAATGGTGGTTGCCAAGAGCTGGTGAGAGGGGGAATGAGGAATTGTTTCATGAGTACAGAGTTTCAGTTTGGGAAGATGAAGACCTCTGGAGATGAATAGTAGTGATGGTTGTACGATCACGTGCTTAACAGTACTGAAATGCATAGCTGAAAGTGGTTATTATGATAAATGCTATGGCATTACATATATAGTACATATATATATATATATATATGGCTCTAGACATGGGTGTATGATCTGATCACTTACTAGGTGTGTGACTTAGGGAATAAAGCTTAGCTTTTCTACACCTCTATTTCTTTACCTTTAAATAGGAATGATAATAATACTTCCCTCCTAGGACTTGTGTGAATATTGAATGTGATAATGCATATAATGTACTTCTTATAATACCTAGCACTCACTGTGTGCTTATTAAATGTAAGCTACGATTTCATTGTTTTTAGATAGCAGCAAGAGGGAAAAACTCACTTTTGCATAGATGAGGCTTACATGAAGCCATGGTGCTCATGCACTGTTCAAATTCTACAAACCAGCATAGACTATAGTGCTCCCATCTCACTGGTCATTGCCTCTCCTTTGCTGTGACAGTTCCTGGGCCAAACTGATCGCAGCATGTGAAGGAAGATCACAGGAAAGTAGGAAGACAAAAATGCCAACCTTCCGTGATCAGCACATACTTTACCTCCTGTGTTAATATCACATTGTGCAATCTTGACTGAGAGATTGAAGATGACACAATATGATATTAAGATCATAATTATGCCAGGCAATATGCTATTACCCTGGCAAAGAGAGACCTATTATTTTTTGCAGTATGTCTGTTATTTGAAACACCAATCTGCTAGGATGGTCTTATGTGTATGTGTGTGTTTTAATTTTCTCCTAAGATAGAAACTGTTTCTCGTGAAATTGTTTCTATTGGTTTTGCCTATAGAATTAGAACTAAGTCTACTTAATGGCCGAAATATTCCATTAAATTAGGAAAAAATGATGCTGTCACTGTTTGGCAATAAAACAACTCTATATTTACTTCTTTAGCATATATTTATTAAGTGCCTTCTTATAAGCTATAGGCAGTTTGGCGTTCAGTCTGGTAGGGGAGGATAGGTACGAACATAAGGAAGCACAATATAATATGGATAGCATTACACACCAGAAATACATCCAGTAGCTATGAGAATCATGAGAAAATAGATTGCTTTTTGCCAGAGAGAGAAAGGAAAGCAGGCCCTTGTCTCCAGGGGCTTCAGCTCAGTATCTGATATCAAATGGCATTTGGTATGTATTTGTTGAATACTGAGTTAGAAATTTCATATAAAAGGTGGCATTTGAGCGGGATCTTAAAGGTCAGGTGGGAGTTGAATCTCTGAAGTTGGGAAGGCCCTCTTAAGCTAAAGGACACATATAAGAAAGGGCACATCGGTGAGGAGAGCAAGGGAACAAGGGTCATGGGGTCATTCTTCTCAGAATGAAGACTGAGATGTAACCAAGGGAATCATAGGAGGTAAGCCTTGAAAGTTAAGTTGGAGCTGAATCATAGAGGCCCCTAAATGGTATTCTAAGTCGACTATCTAGCCTTTCCAGTGTGCAGGGGGAAGCCCTTGAAATATTTTGGAGCAGGAAAGTCAGGTGCTTAAAGCTTAGGCTGGGAGAAGAGTAATCTGACAGCAAATGTCCAGAATGAATTAAAGTGAGACTGAATGAAGGGAGACTAGTTGGGGGAGTATAGCAGGTATCCAGGTCAGAGGTAATAAGGGCCAGCAGGGAGGTAGTGGCAGTAGGAATGGAGATTTGGATCAAATTCTAGAGCTATTTAGATGATTGATTGGATGTTGGAGGAAAGGGTGAGGTCAAAGATGATTGCAGGCTTAAACCGATACAAAGGTGGGCCAAAAGATGAAGATGTTATCTTTCAGGAGGAGCAGAGTTCTGTGGGAGGATGCCGAGCTTCCCGTTGGGCAGTTTGTGTTGGAAGGGCTGGAGATAATGAATTTAACTGGTTGACTAAGGCTAGATTTCTCTTGGTTGGATAAACTGCATTAGACCCTGACATTCAGTTTGTATCACTTCGGTGGGATTTGGGTTCTCAGGAATGGATAAACTGCACCTTGTGTTTTCCTTATGGTGCTAGGGGAGAGTGCACTTCACGCTGTATATGGTTTTTTTGGTGTCAGGAACGTACCCTGTAGACCTGGCTATCCTACAGAATCTGATTTCATGGAAATAACTACCCCTTATAGACATAGCCTGAACTGATCACAAATTTTGGCATCATTTAATAGCTGGGAATTAAAATGGAAGCAACGTTGTATTCTCTAAATGTTTTAAACTCAGAGTTCTGTAATTAGTTGGGAATTCAGTGATAGCCCCGTAATCACATGACATCTGTTTCATTACAAACTTGTGACAGCTTCTTTGATTCTAGTGTATTAAATCCCAAAGACTATTCAGGGACCTGCTCTTTACCGGAGGCTAATTTTTAAGTTTAATATTTGTGTTGTACTGGTGAGAATAAAGCAATGTATCTGGGATGCTGAGCCAGGTTTTCCAATGGAAGGTAACAGCAGGAATATAAATGTGTCCTTATTTGTGCCGAGAAAAAACTGGGTGTGCAGTTGGCAGATTGTTCTTTTTTGATTTGCAGGACTGATTTATTTTGTTCATCTGTGTTAGGTGGTTCCTTTACTTCAGTGTGCATCAGAATTTCCTGGGAAGTCTGTTAAATTGCAGATTCTAGGGCTCCACTCCAAGAGTAGATCTGGAGCAGAACTGGAAAATCTGCATTTGAAATAAGCACTGAAAGCAGCCCTAAAGGACATTTTGTATTATCTGAAGTCTTCAAAGTCTTTACCCCCTAAGTCCTTTGACCTTTAAAACTTAAGCTCAAAGAAAGAGAATTTCCTAAGGTAGTAACTCTGCCTGGTGTATTCTCTAGACCAGTGTTTTTCAACCTTTTTATCTCAGGGCACCCTTGAACCTGTAGTTAAATTTCCGTGGCACACTTAAATTAGGCTGATCAAAACAAAAAAGAATCAAAAATAGGATATACTTACTGGGCTTTGGATTTCTTTCAGAAATAATTTAATGATCTTTAAAAATTTTTGCAGCGCACCGGTTGAAAATCACTGCTCTAGAGCAAGGTTCAGAACTTGTAGTCCGTGAGTAGGCTTCAGAAGATTTACGAGGTGTTGAAAGGATATGTAAAAGCGTGTGTCTACCTGTATTTTTCTGAGGAGATAAGCCAAATCCTTTAGAATTTTAAGCAGCTAGGACCCAACTCATGTTAAGAACTGCCTCCCCTGCCTCAATGTATGGCATAAAGAGTCAAAAATATATACTTTTGAGAAGATAAAAATATCTTACTCATCATCTATCTATAGGTTTTACAAGTTTAGGAATATTAGATATAGTATTTCTCAGCCTGGAAGGAAGAGTATGGAAATATTCCACCATTGATGCCAAAAAAAAAAAAAAAAAAAAGCCCATCAGAAAAACCTGTAAGTCAAGTAAAGCTGTAAACTTCGTTAAATGTACAGCAGCATGAAGACATTACCTTGGTAAAGTCTTAGTATCTTGGAAAGGGGCCCTCAGGGGAAAGAATTTATAGAGTTTTAGCCTGGGCTGTGTGATTTTTAAGGCAGGTCTTACAATACAAAGAATGGGTTAGGATTGTGTAGTGTTATGATAAAATAGCTTTGTGTTGGTGAATACAGCCAGATGAGGGTCTTGAAGTGAGTATTGGTTAATTCACAGTATCTTCCGGAGACAAATGATTTCCTAAAGTAAGAAGCTATGTTATTTGTTACTGTAATAATTTTCAGTATTATTTAACATAAAAACAATAAAGTATGTCTGTTCAGATATTTTTAACACATGGAAAAGAAAATATGCCCAGTCCCAGTATTATTTATACAGGGATAAGAAAGTATGCCTGGTCTCAGTATTTTTTAACATAGGGGCAGAAAACTATGTCAATGTTAGTTCTTGGTACCAAGGACTAGTGTTTTCAGTGAATTGCTGGGAGCAAAATTATGGCCCAACTATAATTCAAAACGTACTATCCACTGAAGGCCACCCATCTTCCCAGTCAACCAACTGACATGGCAGGATAGTGTTTGGTCTAAGGTCAACAGAAATATTTCTCTTCCTTCTCCCTCACAAACCTTCACAAACCTTCAGGGGACAAATATCTTCAGATTTTTCCAATAGTCCCCTAAGTCCATCCTTAGAGATGAGGAATGTCTTCCATGTAAAATTAGAATAATGAAGATAGTAATGAATGTTAAGAAACAGTCAGTGAAATTTTGCAGGCAGATCTTACGTAGTGAAGTATCAAGACTTGAGATGTGCAAGGTTACCCCTTGGCCAGTAGGCACTGACTGGTCTTCGTACCAGTCTTAAGAATTGGAGATTAGACTTTCTATCAGTATATTTGCCACTGGGGTAATTTTTATTTTATTTATTTTTTTATTAATTCTTTTGTACATAGATCATAAATACATTTATGTTATGATAGGATTCAATGTGTTGATTATTTGTACAAATTGGAATGCTTACATCCTATTAAACAACATAAGCTTCACCACTTTTACCCAATTACAGGATTAAGACATTTATGCTGTACCCTGATAGATCCAACTTGTACTTGCAGTATGCTCCATAGGTGTGGTCCCCCTCCCAACCCTCCCTCTTCCAACCCACCCCCCCTCCCTTCCCCTCTTCCTCCCCTTCCCTCCATCCTAGGCTATAGTTGTGTTTCATTTTTCATATGCAAGTGTGAGTGATTATAAATTGGTTTCACAGTAGTATTGAGTACATTGGATTTTTTTTCCCCATTCCTGAGATACTTTACTAAGAAGAATATTTTCCAGCTCCATCCTGTGTGTATGTGTAAGAGAGAGATGTGATTATTTATCGTTTTTATTTCAGATTAATATGAGTGTACAAATTGTTAGGTTACATTCTTTTTGTTTGTTAGGTAAAGTCCAAATCCTAGTCGTACCCCTCCATTTTGAGATCTTTATAGATTATATATATTCTCACTTTTGGAGGCCACATGGTACATTATTTCAAATATATTAAAGAACCCCCTTCCCCCCCTTTATATTTTTGCTGCAAATGTTTGAAGTGAATTTTAAAATATAGATTTTAAAATTATTTGCTTATCAGAAACATTTAATTTATAGTTAGGTATAACTTCTTGGTCAACAATTGTGCATACTCAAGAATTATTGCTAAGTAAGAAAGTATAACCTACAATTTCTTCTTCATATAATAAAGTTTTTATAAACGCTAAATGCAAATGGCTAAAATCTAAATATTGTCTTAGTGAATAATTTGACATTCGTTCATTTAGATTTTGATTTTCTTGTGGATTTTCCTAAGCTGACCCCACATATTTCTGACATCACATGTTCTCATAGGCCCATGTAAAGCTTATTATCCCTGAGCAAGGTTCACGTTACCTCACGAATAAAATAGCACCATTTGCCATATAGAAAAGTACCCAGTTTGTATGCATATTCTACCCTACAACAAAGGAACCATGATTAGGTGAATTCTTAATACCAGTGGACATCAGATACAGCAAAATTTTCTGGAACATAATATCAAAGCAAACTCCAACGACACAAAGATGACACAATGGCTTTTTTTTCCCCCTATGCCCACCGGAGTGCTGTGAAGAGTTAGTGTTTCACATGAAGAAAGTGATTTTTTTATCCACATAGCCATAATACGATAGAATAGCCCAGTTGTTATGGCTAAATTAAGAATAAATATAGATACACAAAGAAGAAAATCAGTGTCTAGGCAACATGAACTCCAGTCTGCAAACTACCGAGCATCTATGTCAGGACGACAAAATATTCTTACAAATGCTTGTTTCTAAATTCTAAGTTGTTTTTCTTCTCACAGTAAATAAATCTTGCCAGTGTCTATCAGATATACGATCACACCTTATGACTTCTCTCTTATGACTTGATTGTACAAAAGGCACACTGAATTTTTAATTGCAGACTGAGGTCCTTCAATGTAATCATTTTATTTATTTATTTATTTATTTATTTATTTGGCCAGGGGTGGGTTTGAACCCGCCACCTCTGGCATATGGGGCCGGTGCTCTACTCCTTTGAGCCACAGGCCCCGTCCAATGTAATCATTTATTAATAGGCTGCCTATAACTGCATTAAGAGCTTTGGCCTCAAGAAAAGAAAATTCATTGTAGGATTATATTGGGCCAGTACCCCCAATGGCATAAATAAAAACCAAATAAATATATAAATACCCCAAATGAAATAAAAGCCAAAGGCCACCTCTAATAGCACTGTCCAACAAAAATATAATAAAAACTACTATATATGTAACTTTAAATTTTCTAGTAATTTTTTTTTGCGGGGGGGGGACAAAGTCTCACTATGGGTACCCTTGGTAAAGTGCTGTGGCATCACAGCTTACAGCAACCTCAAACACTTGGGCTCAAGTGATTCTCTTGCCTCAGCCTCCCAAGTAGCTGGGACTACAGGCACCTGCCGCAATACTGGCTTTTTTTTTTTTTTTTTTTTTGTAGCAGTTGGCTATTTGTTTGTAGCAATCAACATTTTTGTTTAGCAGGCCCAGGCTGGGTTCGAACCTGCCAGCTCTGGTGTATGTGGCTGGCGCCCTAGCTGCTGAGCTACAGGTATCAAGCCTAGTAACTATATTTTTTAAAGTAGGAAAAATGGGAAATCAATTTTATTAATTTTTATTTAATCTAGCATACTTAAAATATGAGCATTTCAACATATAATCAATATATGAACCATTAAATATTTTATAATATTTTTTGTATTTAGTATACACTATGGGATGTACATTATACTTTAGCACATCTTAATTCAGACTGCACACATTTTCAGTGTTTAATAGCCATGTGTGGCTAGTTGCTGTCATATTATCCAGTGTGGTCCTATATCATAATTTATGGTTTTTAAACTTGTCCATGCCTCAGGATCACCTGGAAGGCTTGTTATCATACAGATTGCTGGGCCCCACTTCCAGAGTTTCTGAATCGTAAGTCTGGATGGAGCCTGAGAACTTCCATTTCCAACAAGTCTCTCGATGACACTGATGATGCTGAGTGGAGAGTCAAACTTTGAGAACCAGGGCTACGGCTCTTTCAAAATCCAACTTGGGGGCCATTTTACCACTACAATCATGTGAATGATCAAAAACTGACTGTAGGTAGTACGGCTATTGTTAGCGATGGTAGTGGTGTCCTTGCAGTTCATAAAACACTGGAAATTACCATTTACCTGTTGGTTAATGCTGAATAATTACTAATGTGGATGGGTGTCCCTTAGATCTTCATGTCTGTTACTTTGTGAGTGCTTCGTTCCAGGAGGCTGAACAGGGAAGAAACATTTCTTGGCTTGCTTGCTCTTAATGAGTATTCGCAGAGCTGTATTAATACCACATGCGTATGCACGCTCTGATGTGAGGCAGGAAGTAGTCTTTTCAAATTAACACACTGTCGATCAATATCGACAATCCACCCAGTACAGATGCAAGGTTTTAATGGCAATATTTTTATTGTATTTTTCAAAACATTGAACTTTTATTTAAATATTAAGTAAGTGATAGCTCACTGTTTTTGAGCTCAGCGAAAAATAAAAAGGTGGCCCTTTAAGCCATGGCATAAATGTATGAGCAGGTGCTGGCCACCAAATTGTTGATGTTTCTGCTCATCTGTAAATGATGTAGTTCCCTCCTATTCCTACATACTTAAATACTTCGTTTCCTTTGTCTTATTTCTGAACAAAAACATGGTGGAGTTAATATGTGGTCTTTAAACTTCGTTTTTGTCACCAGAGTACAAAAACAGCATCTGAGCCTCCTTTGGCTCCTCCTGTGTCTGAAGAAGAAGATGAAGAAGAGGAAGAAGAAGAAGATGACAATGAGCCCCCACCAGTTATTGCACCAAGGCCAGAGCATACAAAATCCGTAAGTCACAAGTGACTATTTCCAAATGATTCAAAAGATGTGCTTTGGAGCAGTCATAGAGTTAGAATATAGTCAACAGTGAGTACCTAGTAAGCATCCCCCATGTTCCCCAAACTGTAATATAGTATGTGAGCCAGGTTTTGAGGTTGATGTTTGAAGGATACTGGATTAGCACATTAAATAAGCAATGTATAGATAACTGCCACGTTCTAGAACTGCTGGAGAAGTTAAAGATAGGGAAGGAAATCCATGTGAACCAGGTAGGAACAATTGTATATGCAGAAGCACCAAGACCAGAATAAGCAGAGCGTGTATGGGGACCTCAAGAGACTATCTCCTAAGATCTTTCAAGGAGTACTTGAAGCTACTCGGAGTTCTTTTTGAATAGAAAACCACTTGTCTTTAAAAATTCATTGATATGACAGTATTGTGACTCCACGCTTCTTCCTTGGCCTGTTGTTTTAATTGTAGAACTTTCTGATTTTTGCCTTTTAGATCTACACGCGTTCTGTGGTTGAATCCATTGCTTCACCAGCAGCACCAAATAAAGAGGTCACACCACCTTCCGCTGAGAATGCTAATTCCAGTACTTTGTACAGGAACACAGATCGGCAAAGGAAAAAATCCAAGATGACAGATGAGGAGATCTTAGAGAAGCTAAGTGAGTTTTTTTTTGCCATCATTACCTTCTTCATGGAAAGATTTCTCATAAACTATGTAGAATGGGAACTCACCCTTCAGAAGTTTAAATCTGCTTATATGAACTCCAGGCTCCCTGAAGTCACAAGATGAAGAGTCTGGGACTCACTGTACATGCCAGATATGACAGATGGCTCCCTTCCTCCCACCCCTAATTGGCAGAAACTAAATATTTTTACTCAAAAAAGTCAATTAAGGTGAAAAATTGACAAAATGAATAAGTAGTAAATTTATGCCTTCAAAAGGGGTAAAATAGTCTTGTGAAATATTTTATGATTGTATCCCAAGAGCCCCCTACTCAGGGTAGATAAGGTACCTTCAAAGTCAAACATGGTCAGTCAATACTTCTGACCACAAATTATAGAGCCTTGTCCCTTCATTTAGTAGCATTCCTATGTGGAGAGGGAAAAAGAGCTGGCAGGTGCTAGCAGTCTCCTTCTGAAGTTTCATTAATGTGTATGTGCTTGTGCAAACACATCGTCCCAGTCTTCCCACTCACCTTGTAGTTAGAGTTTTATCAAGAAGGTTAAAGAAAAATAGATTCTTTGGTACAAAGAGTCAAAAAGTAGTCTGCAAAGCATATTCATTTAAGTCCTATCACAGAAGCATCTAATGGATCGCTAGATAGGAGCAATCAGTGCCCCTAATTTGGTTACCACCTATTCATGCTTCAGAAAGCCTTCCTCATCTCTCCGAGTCTGAATCAAGGGCCCCTCTTCCTTACCACTTTTATCATAGCAAATGACACACTGTACTAGTCTGTCTCCTTCACTAAACTGTGAACTTCTCAAGGCAGGTACTGTGTCTTTTTGTCCTGTATGTCCACCTCTCAGCAAGTAGCTATTACACAAAGATGCCCAACAAATGCTTTTTGAATGAATGAATAAAAAAAAAGAGCAAGCAACTCTATGCAAGAAACAATGGAAGACATGATACAGCAGTAAGAAACTTACAATTTTCTTTGGAGATAAGATTTAGTGGCTTGATACAACCAGAGAAAGGGAGTGTCTCATTTCCTGCAAATTTTTAATCTAAAAGACCTCAGAAAAGGGAAGCAATTCCAGCTATACGCCACAGGGAGGCTCTGCAGAGGTGGTGGTGGTATGATGCTATTGCCCTCCAGAGGACATTTGGCAAAGTCTGGAGATAGTTTTTATTGTCATGATTTGAAAAGTGCTAATGGCATCTAGTGGAGAGAAGCTGTGTTTGCTTCTAAACATTGAATGTGCAAGACGGTAATGAAGACAGTAAAGTACTATTCAGCTCAAAATGTCAACAGTCCTGAGGTTGAGACATTTTGAGCTAAATGTATTTAAAAAGGCAAAGGTTGGGGTTGCAACTGTCAGTGAGCACTCGGAACTGCAATGGCTGGACTTCAGCTAACTGACTTTACTACACGTGATTAATATGCCTCTAGCACTAACACCAACCATTTGCTGTGATAACGACAGTAACAATTTTCATTTCTTTAGCACCTTCTGTACAGGCCACTTCATGTACATCATCGGGGTTAATTTTCACAATAATTCCTAGAGGTAGAATTTCATATCCTCATTTTACAGATCAGTGAAAGTAAGCTTTCAAAAGCTTAAGTGACCAGGTCATCAAACTAATGGATGGCAGAGCCGGAGTTTGAACTTAGAACGGTTTGCCTTTAAAACTTAGGCTTTTTCCATTACCTACTCTGCTTCTGCGTATCACGACTCTCTGTTTGTGTGAAAAGGAAGGAAGATATGGAAGAAGTGCCTGGATAATAGAAGTTCAATTATTCAGACAATTGCCTTTAATTTGTTATCCTTTATGTTGTATGTGTAGACATGGCCTAGGGATTATATCAGATTTTAAAAAATCTAACAGCTTTGCATTAATAAAAAACGACTGTTATTTAGTATATGTTCCAAATGTCAGTGGATTTATTCTAATGAAAATGCATTTATAGCTTTGTTAAATTAGCTGACAGAGAAACAGGCATTATGTTCCTGGACTGAAATCTGGCTTTGCTTGTAAACTGAAATGGTGCTAAAGCTGTGGCCCTTATGATTTGTCATTTATTCTGCTCTGCCCTAAGCAATGTAGTGAAGAAGAGGGAAGCCAATTTTGATTACATTTTAATTAAGAATTAAGTGGAATTTTTTCCTGTATTAGACTTCATGCACAGGTCTACAATCATTTTCCTTCTTGCCAGGGGGCCACCTGTGACTGCCAACCTTACCTTGGACTTGTGGATCTTAGCCAGGAGAGCCTGTAGGGGAGTGCTTGTCAGGAAGCAGAGTTGAACTGAACTATACTTCAAAGTCTGCAAAGTCAGACTTTCCTGCTCCACCCTCCCCATGTCTGTGCCTGCTCTTTGCCACTTTCCCACTTGTCTTACGCAAGCCATTTAACTCTGAAGATCAGTTTCTAATCTATCAAATGGAGATAAGAATCATGACTACATTTTAGGACTCTGTCTATAAGATGGATCTTAGCGAGCTCAACCTATGTTCAAGAAGACAGATATTGGAGTTAGAAAGACCCATACTTAAGTCACAGACCCATTGCTACCAGCTGTGTTATTTAGGGGCCAGTAATTAACTTTTCTGGGCCTCCATGTCCTCATCTAAAAAGTAGGGATAATAATCATACCAACTTCCTACCATTATGATAATCAAATGAGAATAATATATGTAAGCCCCTCAGCAACAGTACCTGGGGCACATCATAGGTATTCAATAAGTGGTAGCTATTGTTTTATTACATGAGTGTAAAAGTTTCAATAAGTTAATACCATGAGACAAACTTTGGAATAAGTTGTAACTGAGTCTGAGTCATAGACACAGACTAGCTGAGTGTCCTTAGGCAAATCACTTAACCTCTCTGAATGTCAATGAAAAATAGAGACAATAATGGTACCTATGTTATGGGGGTTCTGAGGACTAAGTAAGTTAAAGTATATAAAACTTCTAGCACAACAGAGAGTGATATTATTATTAGGCTATTTTTATAAAATGAGGATGACCTGACTGTATTTTTCAGTATAACGAATGGGGCACGGAGTCTTCTAGTGGGACAGAATGTTTGAAACCAGAAATAATGCCAGATCTTTGGTCCTTATATAGAAATCTTCCAGGACTTTGGACTCAATAGCCCCTTTGGAGCTTGAGGGAGGAGTAGAGGAGCCTGTGCTGTGCTAAGAGGCCAAGGAGGAGAGCAAAGGGAGGCAGGGTGGGAGAGGGATATAGCCAACAACCCACAGCAGGACCCCACAAGCATGAGGAAATGACAGCAGCAGGGGTCCGATTACTCGCAGGTGGGGAGGTGGGCAGCCCGCACCACAGAGCTGCCAGGTTTTTCATCTTCCATGCAGATACTGATTGTGGAGGCCAGATCAAGAGGTCAGTGATGGCTAAAACGAACAGATCATCTCTCAATCTCTTTACCAGCAGAACCAGACAGGCAGCCTAGCTCTGGCTTCTTCACTGTGGTCTGTGGGTTCTGCTGGAATAGGAAGGAATCCATACATTTGTAATGAAAAACTTCAAAAGGTACTGACTGTCAGTAAAATTGTGCAATCCAGGAAATTTGGCCTCAGTCTCTCTTCTCCAGGCCCCACAATCCCGTTTCTCCTCTTGTCCCTCCCCTCTCCCCGCAGTCCTCAATAAAACTTTTTTTTTCCTAAATCACCCTCAGGTAGAGCTGACCTTAATTTAGAGAACTGTTTTGCTTTTTTCCTCAGGAGTCAAAACCTTCTGTATGAAAAAGAGATCATCTTTTTAATGGTGGGAGTTCAGATTAGCTTAATATGTTGGAGAATACATATCTCCACCGAAAGCACATCATGAACCCTATTTTCTTTTTCTTTTTTATCAGGAGTGCCCTAAGAGAGTATTGCATTTTTTTTTTAATTTTTGAACCCTATTTTCAAATATAAGTATTTAGTATTTTCTTAAAACCTTATATTTTAAAATGAATGTTTCTTATTTAGGAAATTGTTCCAGTAGGAATTGATTCTGGTATTCCTATCAGGTTTTTTTTTCTTTTGATTTTGATTTTCTGACGATTCTTTCTTTGTTCCCCTATTGTGTCTCAATCTTTTTTCTTTCCTTTATTGTAATTTATAAGCAATTATAGTGAATTTGATGGAAGAGATCATTTTAAAAGCTTACGTTGTGATTTAGAATTGTAAACAGGCGTCCTGTGCATCAGTAGGTGGCAGCACACGCTCTCCTGTGAAGGGTAATGGGGTGGGGAACGCCATCTTATTTGTGTAGCACTTAAATTCAGAAGCAGAATCTCACCAAAATGGTTGTCTTTTGGTAATACTCATGAAGGGATTTATTTCCAGCTTTCTTTTTTTGCCCCACGTAAATGGGGGGAAAATGGTTGACTAATTTACTACCATAAAGCTCATTAACTGAACCCCAGCAATTTGGAATGGGTCATAATTCAGACAGTGGCCTGGGCTGACACTTATTCGCTTTTGCTCAGTCTATGAAAAAGAGTTTGCTCAGCAACTTTATAGTAAAACCTTTAGAAGACTAAACTAATGGATCAAACTATGGTTACAAGTCACTTTAAAATCATCTCCTTTTTGAAAAGCCCAGGCTCTCTTAAATAAGGGTGGTTCTCAGAGATACAGATATCCAGGGGTCTTCAAACTTTTTAAACAGGGAGCCAGTTCACTGTTCCTCAGACCATTGGAGGGCTGGACTGCGGGCCCGGGACGAGTCGGCTGCTAAGTAGGACAGACAATGACAGCAAAAACACCCGGTGGGCTGGATAAATGTCCTGGGTGGGCCACAGTTTGAGGATGCCTGTGACAATTTAAAAAATAAAATACCAACTCAGAAGTTGCTAAATTGGTGGCATTTGGTAAATACAGCTCAAGTAAAACATACATTCTCCAACTCTTGCCTTAAACTATAGGACCTTTACAAAAGGAAATACCTAAATGTATTTGGATTTAATTAAAAAAAAAAAACATTTACTGAGTATCTGGTGTATTCTAAAAATCATCAATTTTGAATATAATCAGCATGATCATTGTTACTACTTTAATTAATATATTACTATTTGTTATTTTAACAGATAGAAAATATCATCTTTCATGTAAATTGTAGAAATCACATGGGAATATTCTAATATTTTTATGTTGTCAATTCTGCCATCTAATTTTCATTATCAGACAAAGGGAAACCAATTAATTACTCTCTTCTCTCTGTCTTTCCCTCTCTCCCTTTCTCCCTCTTCCCTCCCCCCCCCATCTCTCAGGAAGCATTGTGAGTGTTGGAGACCCAAAGAAAAAATACACAAGATTTGAAAAAATCGGTCAAGGGTAAGTGATTATTATTTAAAATAACAAAAGATGAGCAGCAGCAGCATACATTTAAAATTCGGTAACAGCTTGGGTTTCTGATAAATCATATTTCTCATTTCCTGGATTATATTTGTATTTTGCATTCTCCACACTGGCCTTTCCAGCTGGCAGGCTGACCGTTCATTAACCTAGGAACACATCCTGCCGGAATCTTCATTATTGTTGGGCTGACAGTGAATTCTGGAGGGACATTTTGATCCCGTGTAGTTACAAGCTTCAAACTGGTTTTTCCAGGAAAATCACCAGGGTTATGGAAACTTGTAGCTTGTATGAAAACTCCCTTTATGCCTATTCCTCCGACAGGTGTGTGGACGGTCTGGTTAAAACCCTGTTTCGTTGTCAAACTGGAAAAGGACAAAATGAGGGATTTGAGGAAAGTTGCTCTGGAATGATTTTAGAGTTGGTTATTTAAGTACAGGGGAAACAGATAAATAATCTCTGCATGAAAAAGAGCACATTATTTACACCTCATGCGCTTGTTAAAAATAGAGATTCCCAGGGCCCACTACCAGAAAAGTCTAGAGTGGTGTCCAGGAATCTGAACTTTACAAAAGTTCCTCAGATAATTCTGATCATCAGTTAAGACCCGGGAACCACGGCAGTAGATTGTTCAGTAATGCTAAAAGCAGGAGTCACAGTTCTGCAAGTCATCTACAATTAAGCGTGTCTCTCAGGTCTCAGTGTGAAACTAAGCATGAAGGGCTGAGCGAACGACGGTTTTCGAGCCATGAAAAGTTTTGTTTAAGGAGAAATGAAGTTGAAGCATTCTTAAGGGGCATCCTTAAATGGGGAATGAGACACATATTCGTGTGCACCACCTACTGTATGTTAGAAACTAAGGTGGCACCCCAGAAATCTGGCTGAAGCAAGGGACTTGGCAGAAAGGGATACAACTAATATGCTGCAAAATTTTGCTAGCCTATCAGCTATTAGAGTCGAATGATTGCAACTTGAGGAAATATGGGATTTCTTTAAGCCCCTCATTGCTTTTCAAAGATTCTTGGGTTCAAAAAGGTATACAGGGTGGCATTTGTGGCTCTGTTGAGTAGGGCACTGGCCCCATATTCCGAGGGTGGCGGGTTTGAACCCCATCCCCGTCAAACTGCAACAAAAAAATAGCCGGGTGTTGTGGCGGGCGCCTGTAGTCCCAGCTACTCAAGAGGCTGAGGCAAGAGAATCACCTAAGCTCAGGAGTTGGAGGTTGCTGTGAGCTGTGATGCCACAGTACTCTAGTGAGGGCAATAAAATGAGACTCTGTCTCTTAAGGAAAAAAAAAGGTATACAGTAGAACCTCCATAGTTGACCACTTCCCTACATTCACCACATCCTTAAGTTGACCTAATTTTCATAGAGCAGACGTTCGCCACACGTACATGTCAGTATAGTTGGCCTAGTTCCTTGTGTTGATGTCTCTGTATGTTGACCAGCTTGTTATAATCCCTTGGGTGGTCAACTTACAGAGTTTCTGTATATATAAGCTTGGTTATTTCTCATGATTTTTATATTGCTTTGTTTTTCGCACTAGCTGGTGTATAAAAGTTTCGTGTAAAATTGCCAGTGTATCTTAAGAAATAAAGAAAAACATTAATTAGACATTTGAGACATTTGAACTAGAAGGTAAGAGGAGTACTTGTAGGGATTGTGCCTGATGGGAGTCAAGGTGAGAAGACTGAGAGGGAGACAAAAACTCATGAAGAAATCCATAGCCAAGTTTATTCTATCAGTGGAAACTATAATGGCATTGCATTTGACCTTTCCAAGAGGCTACAATATATAATTATTAGTGCTTTTGTTTCTTTCTTTGTTATTTAATATCACTGTCATTCTTATTTGCTCCCTAAAATGAAAAGTTTCATGTTTTCTAAGGTCTTCCTATCACTGAAGGATCAAATAATATTTCTGCCCATTGTTCTAGAACAATGCTGTCCAATAGGACTTCCATGATGATGGAGGTGTTTTATGTCTGTTCTGTCTAATATGGTAACCACTGGCCACATGTGGCTATGGGGCACTTGAAATGTGGCTAATGCAAATGAGAAACTGACTTCATTTGAATTAATTTATTTGTATAGCAGACATTTCTTGAGTGCCACCTATGTGCCAGACATTATGCTAAGTAATGGAGAAAAGGATAGATGATGGTGATGTGGGCCCTTGAGGAAATTGTAGCTACAATAATAACTGCTTGACAGAGGGCTACATAGGGTGCAAAAAGAACACTGAGGCAAGCCCGATTCCTTTACCAACGTGCAGAGCAGGGCTGGCTTGTAGAGTCATTATCTCGCACCTGGAGTTTTTCTTTTTAATCTCTGGTGGATTGGTTGTTTTGCTTCAGTAAGAAAGCTGTACCTTCGTAAATCCACATGCAAACCTCAACTCACCTTCTTTCTGCCCAAAAGGTAAATACCAGCAGGCAGTTTGCAAAAAGAAAATATTATATACTGTGTGGCTTGGAAAACAAAAGTTGGCTTTTAGATTTTATTTTAATCTGGTTAGGTCTCCAGCAGAGCTAAGAATAAGAAGGGATGTACAATCCGTTTAGGAGTAGCACTCCAGATCTTTGTTATCTAATATGGTGGCCACTGGCCACATTTGGGTTTTGAGAATGTGCAATGTGGCTAGTCTAAATTGAGATGTAAGCATAAAATGACACCTGATTTCAAAAACTTAAAATAAAAAAAGAATTAATATAAGGTATCTCATTAATAAATTTTATATAGATTGTATTTTAAGATGATAGTATTTTACATACATCGAGTTAAAGAAAATATATTATTAACACTAATTTCACCTTTTTTAAAACTTTTAAAAGGTAGCTCAAAAAAAATTAAAGTACAGCTCATATTATATTTCTAATGGGAAGCATGGCTGTAGTTTTAGGTTTCAATGGTAGCTATCAGTTTATTAATTCATAAAGTTTTTTTTTTTTCCGGAGCTGTTTTTGGGGGTAGAAGTGGAAAATGTTTTGTTTTGATTATCCATTCCCACTAAAAACCCAAATGAGCCAAAAATAACATTGAACTTAAAAGGGGAAAAACAGTAAAAGATGGTTTCAAATATCTCCCAGATACCAGGTAATGAATGAAGCAGGAATAATTTCTGCAAGAACAAAGATCAGGCCACTGAGCAACTTTGTGTACCAGACAGACATTTCCCCTCTTGCTTATTATTTATGCCTCTGACTTTTAAAGATGAAAAGGGAAGTTCTTTATTTCTGAATACCTTTATGAAGTCTTTATAGTCTAAAATAAAAAAAAAATCAAAGGAGCAATCCTGCTTGCCACTACAGGGAGGTCTATTATAAATTAACAAGTTCATCATTTTAAAGGATGAAACCAGCAGATCATTCACTCCTAGGCCAAACTCAACTTTTTAATAAGTCATCAGAGGGTAGGGAGTCTGTTTCAATTCCTCCTTTTGTGTCCTTTCTGGACTAGCACGGTGGTTTTTGCACTTAGTAGGTATTCAAAGGGAATTTTGTACATTTATAGTCAACAGCCTGGTTCACTTTGGCCAGATTCAAAGAACTCTACGGCGCTTCCCCTGTCTGCCATCCCCATCTCTCTGGGTCTGTTTTGGCCTCAATAAATATTTGTTGAACTATAGAAAATGTTTGTCTTTCTAGCTGTCCCTTTCTTCTGTCCTCTGTCCTTCATTTGTATACTTGTATATGTATTTCTCTTGCTCTTTCTGTCTCTGTCTCTGTCTCTCCCTCCATTTCCCATCGTTGTCATTACAACATCTGATTCCTTATCCTTTGGGGTATTGGTGGGTGCAGCACGTCCATCTGTTTCTTGCATGTTAGCTTTACCTTCTGTTATTTTCACCCGCACTCCAACCCAAATGGTCCTCATGTAAAATAAGGACTTTTTTAAAAATAAAATTAATATGTATTTGCAAATTAGCTGTGAAGCTCTATTAAAGTGATGTAGATCTATTTACTCTGATTTTATCATTTACTTACTTATTTTTTTTTTTTTGGTCTTAGTAGATTGTTTGCTGTCTGTTCTTAATTTTTAAAGTAAATGAGCAAAATAGTCATGTCTTTCTCTCTAGGCCAAAAAACATCCTGCTTACATTACTTATATAGCTCTCAACTGATTTTTTTCCCTTGAATTACTGGCCTAAGTTAGACAAACAAATCTATCTCTACTTTCAGTAATTAAAGTTTTTCTTTTAGTGGTTTTCTTTACCTATTGTTTTGCTGAGATTGAAAATTATGTCAGTAATCATTCGGTGATAGAAATAATCAGCCCCAGTATTCCATTTTCAGCTCCAGGGAGCACAACAGCTCACACTTGGGAGCTGATGTGAGAAGAACTTCTCCATTAATCACCCTCAGTTACTTGGAAAACTAAATTTTTCCAGTATGGGTTTCTGCTATCCTAGCACTCCGGCCTGGGGCCAGAGAACTGGGCTCTATTTTCCATAAATCAAGTTCAGAATCGCTTGTCTAATCATCTGAGGCCATAGCTGTGAGTTGACATTATTTCACAAGGTTTGCTATGAAAAGGGTTCTATAACTGGCTACCAAATCCTGCCATTTGGAGTAAATGTATGCAAAGTTTGAAAAAAGCGAGGAAAGAAAGAGAAAAGATCAGGTGTTTGAAAATGATTAACTCAACCGCATGAATTTGTCAGAAATATATGCAGTGGAGATTTTAGAATTTTCACTTACTGGAGTAGTTATGTAAAAGAAGTTTGTTCAATAAATAGGGTAGGGTGAAACAACAAAATCAAATATTTATTTTCAGTCAACAGCTATCATTGGCAAGCATGTATAATTCCTGAATAAGTGGTAGCTATGTAACGGCTGAATTTACAAACATTGGCAGCTGTCCTCACAATTTTGCGTTAATATATTTGAATTCATGTTAAGATATTTCCTTAAATGAGAATGCCCTGAAAAAATAGACCCCTCTTCTCTCCTAGGTTCATACTGTCTTTGGTTGTCAATA